ATTATTATTATTATTATCAAAAGGAGGATACGAAGACATTTTGCACAAACCTTTCTCTTTCTGTGCACCGTTCACCGTCTTCAAGATTACCGGTGGAGGAGTGGTAGGTTGAGGTGGGCTAGAAGGGGCTTGACTTGTAGGAGCGGCTGGGGTGATCACCAGATGTGAAGGAGGTGCAGATACAGGTCTGTTCTGCTTGGCCATTCCCACAGGTCGTAGCTCAACATGAGGGATCTTAGGACTCTCTGACACAGTGCCTGGTGGTGATGAAGACACAGTTGCCGTCTCGGTTTTTTGCACCTTAAAATGTAATGAGATGAAAATTGTTATCGTTAGTGCGCTAACGAAGAAAAGGTTTTTCCTACTCGTTTACCGATCTGATAAAAAAAAAAAAGTTTGTTCAGAATGTAACAGGACAGTTACATTTGTCACAGCAGACTAACAGACCTATTAATTAACAATAGCATCATTGTTATTTTCATTTTCACAGAATTGTAGCTTATAAAGCATAAAAGATCAGCGCGTTAACTATTTCACTGTTGATTATGGGTTTCATTAGCTAAATGATTTGTGTAACTTGCATCTCTAGGTTCAAGTAACTTCAAGTCAACTTACCAGTGTCTGAGATGTCGCAACCATTGCTGTTGGTATGGGCGGAGGAGCCGTTGAGGGAGGACTGGGAAGGATAACTGCAGTGCAAGTATTTACTGATTTAGTATTCAGAGGGTGGCGCCAATTCTGTTAACACAACTACAGAGCAAAACAAGCTACAGCCACGCATTCCCGAATTTCGCTCAATGTTCAAATGAAAATGGGTCGATTTACCGTTAGCTGGAACTCGTCCTACAGGGGTAGTGAAGGGGAGAAATGGTGCAATCAAGCGGGGATTGTGCGAAGGAAAAGGAAAGAGAACTCGTGGGGTGGGATTGTACCCGTCCAATCTTGAAACCTGTTGGTAAACCAACTGATAATGCAATGTTTTTTTATGTATCTACCCTTGAGCTGTACTAACGTAGGCAGCTTTTAAGTACTCGAAACTAAACCGCTATAAAAAATTACGTAGGCAGTCAGATGGACTGGAAAGAACTAGGTCGATATCCAACCTTATTATTCAACTACACTTCGTAGAGTACAAATAACGCCATAGACGAGTACAAATATCACGCGGTATTTGTACTCTAGAGTACCGGTTAAACAGGTTTTCTCGCATCGAGTAAGCGAAGAATTGAATTGTAGTTACGAAAAAAAAGAAACGGCGGACAATTTGAATCATATTTCCGACGACGGAGGGTCAGAATGGCTGGCAAATATACATCTAAGTTTATTAGATGAATCGAACGAAGAAAAACAGCTAGACGAACTGGAAATTTCTTCATTTATTGAAGAAAATGGAAACAGCAACACGACAAGGCGCCAATTCCGTTCCGCTTCGCATACTTCTGTRACGCACTCCCCGTAAATAAATATCCGCGAAATTCGCCCGCACTGAAATAACAGTTTGGCGTGTTGGATAATAAATAACTTATTAGACGTTTTGTTGTGTAGTATCGCTGAGTATTTTTACTCGTTATTTGTATTTTGACTCGCCCTACGGGCTCGTCAAAATACGGCACAAATCGTAAAAATACTCAGCGATACAAAACAACAAAACGTCTAATAAGATATATATCTTGACCTCACACTTGGTCAATAACGCATACTTATTGACACAACGGGTCACCAAAACTTCGACATGGGTCACAAGATAAAAAAAGAAAAACGTCACCTGTTTCTTCTACAATTGTGCTCGGCACAAAGCCTATGGAGCCTTCCGAGTTTCTGACGCACCACCATTGACGGTTATCAAGAAGAACCTGTATTTTTATCAAATCTAAACATTAAAATCCCGCTTCACTCCATTGCTTACTACTCGTTTTGCTCTTAAATATAGTTCAACAATATATAGTTAAACTATACTTAAATATAATGAAAGTTTAGGTAAACTTGACAATCAACTTCTTTTGACATTTGATGGTGTTTTGTGATCGTCCAGGGGAAGGAAGTTCTGAAAAGGACTATCGTCCTTGAGAATGAATCATTTTCCCACCACCTGAGCGGAAGTCATTTTCAGAGTCAAGGAATGTGTTCATCTAAACATCTGTCTCCAAAGTTTCAGGTCTGGTTCGTGAAAACCGATTAATCAGTTTTACTTCAACATTATCGAGTGTACGAAACAAGTGAAGCTGTGATACCATTACATTAGATCAGCCGGTCAGCTTTTTTCTGAATCTGGGGGTAGTTGACAAGTATCGGGACGGGTCACGTCAGCACATTTGTCCCGTCCCGTTCACGGAAAGAACGACTTGAACAAGCTATCCTTTGGTATAATTACATGGTCGTTTGTAGAGCGCAGGTATTGACAGAGCTCATGAGCAGTCTGTTTTATCGAGGAAACCAGTTTTCCAAGGTTTTTCACAGCATCTTCTCAGCACAAATATGCAAAGAAATAAAATCAATTCTTACCGCAACTTCTTCTCCCTGGTGAACCGTCAGTTCCTTGCTGTTTCTTGCTTGGAAATCATAAAGGACACGTACTCTTCTCAAGCCTTTTTTGGGTGGACTGGAACAAACAAACACAACAAGGGTTTCATTAAAAGCAGGTTACCGGCGCCGCGGTCTCCCGCAGCCAATAAGACCTCTTGCCACAGGCTCTCGTGTTTGGGTTTTGCATGCACAAAGTGAGATACTTTTTTTACGAATGTGCTTTACGAGTGACTGGAAAACCAAAGTTGTTAGGGCAGTCAACAGTAAATTTGAAAAAGACGCAGTGGGGAACTCAGGTAAAAACAAAGAAACTTCCCTCTCAACGCACTTTATCAGTCTCAGCGTTTATTATAATTCACTGTTATATCAAGGGAAGAGTCGCAGTTATTTACCTTGGTGGCGGTGATTCAGAAGATCCTTTCACACTTGCCAGTCTTCTGAACTTAGCCGCGGCTGATATCACGGCTGAATTTGTGAAGTTTGCCGCAGAGTCATCCCCCTTAAAAAAAAATCATTTTCATTCATGATTTCCATTCAACTGTGAAATAGGAATTGCAAGGAGTGCCCAACTAAGGGAAATCGAAGCAAGCACTTCGCCAGAAGAGCTTTCAAGGGAGCTAAGTTTCCTATAATGGAGCATCAAGGCATTCACCGAAACTCTCTGAAATTCTAAGAGACCCCTTACAACAAGACAGAATCTCGACTTTCTTAGCAAAAGGCATACTTCATTTCACCACCAAAATGGTACCATTCTGAACAAATTATGATAAAAATTTTCTGCGGAGAGACGATACTTCAACCTCTTAGCATACCTTTCTGGATCCATCATTGAGTTGGGCCACAGCGGCGGCATTAGCGGCATTAGCAGCAATAGCAGCACTGAGGTTGGACACGTCTTTACCAGCAATCACTTCAGGTGGAGTCCAGCCGTCCTTGAACATAGGAGTGTATGGAGCCATAAACTGATCTTTGAACTGTTTGCTTGACCTGAAAAAATGAGGAAAATAGGAAAATAACAATTATAGGCAGGAGTTTTCAATAGGCAAAGGGATGGAGTACACTTTGTGGATGGCGGGAGAGGCGAGGGGGGAATGGGACGAGAAGCATACCAAGATCCTTTGATATTACAGAAGGTTACGGTTAAAGAAGGATTTATTCAAATACCGCTCGTTTTCTCGCCCTTTTGTGGTTTTGTCGCCAAGGAGCGCGGGCTTCAGTACTCTTTTCGTCCTGTAGCGGCCATCTTGGTTTTTTTAAGTTTTGAGCTCGTATTGAGAATAGCAACTGCCAAATGCTAAATACCTTAACACTTAATAAACGGGGCCACAAGCAAATCCTTCCTTGTAAATAAAGAAAGCTAATTCGTTTTCAAGGCTTTGTGCATCTCGAAACTGACATTCCTTACTTGTTAATATCTGACAAAGAGGAGGGGTCAGGTCACGTGCCCCGTGGTTCCTTAGCTATGTCCTCGTAATCAGTTTGTCAATTATCCAAATCATTCAATCACCGAAAATTTTTTCATCACAATGTTTCTCGCTCCTTTCTATTTATTTCAAGACGATAGTCAGGAAAAAAGCTTCACATACTTTGGCAACGTCCAGTTGGGTCCTAGAGCCATCCATAATTCTGTTTCCTTTGAGGAGAGACAGTTCTGGAGCAAGTCTATTGCTTGCGTTGTAAGTAAAGGCAGAATGACTGCTCTGGCCTTCTCAGGGCTGGAAAAAGAATTGATTATCATAACATAACAGCACTGATTTCTATCCAGGAAACCAAGATACCGTGATCAACTTACGTTCTACTGCGGAAGAAAAGAGAGCGAAACGGCGACAAATTGAAAAGGCTGGTGACCTCTTGTCATCTAAGAAAACTATTCGTTACGGGAAGAAAAATAGGGAGTCTTTCAAGACAATCCATGTCTGGGAAAACAAACCATCGGAGTGAATACCTTCTCAATCAAAATGACCTTAATTGATTTTGTTGGCCTTTTAGCTAGCACCTGTAGCTGCGCTATAAATGAAAAAAAAATAAAAGACAGCACTTACCCTCCTGTGCAGCGAATCAACAACGAAAGGGGAACAAATAAATAGTGAACCAATTCAGCAGCGTTAGGATTGTGAATGTGCTGCCTCAACTTGCCCTGTGTAAGAGTAAAAGAAATATTCTTACTGCCGGGGGTTACCGGTGATCTACTACCCCCCCCCCTCCCCCGTTTGTTAAACCGTTTTATTCTCAGGATCTGATTGTTCATTCTCCCCTCTAGCTGCTACACAGTTCCCTGTAAATTAGTTATAAGAATTTGGTGTTAGATCAGGACAACCTCTAGCTGATGATAAGTTTGTGTACTCTCATTACCTGTTTGCTGGATAATGAACGGAAATTATGGGGCGAAGTTTCATGTCAATCAGTTTGGGAATTAAAGTGTTAATCTGCGAGCAGCCGCTCGTCTTTGGTTTTCGGTTCACGTCAGAGCCGCTTGTAAAACCATTCGCAGCCGCTCATGGAAAAGTGATCGAAACCCCTGTTTAATGTGCTTTTCTTGAAGGTCGAACGACCTAAGCCAGACTAATCACAAGAGCCAATCAGAAATTAAAAAGCAAAATAGAGAGCCAATGATATTCAGAACTCCTGCAGCGTGAATAAAGAGAGTGATCGGCGTCACTCCAAGAGTTCCACGTGGGGCAGTAACATAATTTTTTTTTTTTGACCAGCGCGAAGGACTTCGCCGAAAAGAAGGGACTACTCGTAGTCTATTGAGGGTCTTTTCATCATTTCATGCTCCGCTTAGTCACACAAACTACAGTATCATCACAGCACGTCAACAGGTCAACGTGGCAACGTTGCGCGATACGGTTGTCGCGATCTACGAAAAGAACTAAAACGTAACAAGTAAAGGTAACGTAGAAGATGACTTACCAACAAGTTCAAGGCATGTTTTAACTTTTGAAATGCATCATAGAATTCTGCCTCAGGCGGCGGGCGGGCTTCAAGTGTCAAGGAACTTTCTGTTGGCATTACAAATCAATAACAAATAATAAAAAAAAAGATGCCACTTACTCAGGAATAACAGATACTGGTGTACGCATCTACGATTCAAACTTACGTTTAACTTTGCCCTTCTTTTTCTGCAGCTTTCTCCAGGCCTCAGCGGATCTCTTTGTTCTCATGACTAAGTCCTCGATATCATCAATACAGTGGTTCAAGATTTGCTGGAATTAAAATAGATAAATTTCAATATTGAGCTCGTACCTTTCCCAAAGTTAGCGACGATCGACTTAAATAGACAGGTTTGCCTCTTGTCACTTTCCTCAGTTAATGATAGGAAGATAAATCTTACTTTTTTCCATGTATTTATGCAGCGCCCAATGTCGTTAAGGATTTGCAACTTTAGCATGAGGGGGAAGGGNCACGAGCTCGTCATTTTCCTTTTGAAGTCACAAAAATGTTGGTACGCATAATCGAAATGTGGGACATAGTTTACCCAACTCTAAAATTTTCAGCCAAACACGATTTAAAAAATTGAAACTGTGAAAAGAATGCATGGGCTCATTAGCAATTTACCAACCAGGAAGTTGGCCCTTTGCAATGGTTAGTGTTTCAGCGAGATTTATTAAATAGAAGCTCCAAATTTCAAACGCTTCAAACTCTGAGACGCTCTTTCAATTTTTGAAATAACTTCTCCCTTAAATCGACCTCTTATCCATGAAAAATGGGAATGAAAAAACGGAAATGGAAAAATGGGAACGAAAAGATAGAAATGGAAAAATAGGAATGAAAAAATGGGATTTATGTCAGTATCTGAGTAGCTGCGCACCTACCCCTCCCCTAACCCAACAACAGCCAACTGATCACAAGTTGGGTTAATGTTGGGTTAGGGAGGGGTGGGAGCACAGTTGCTCATATACTGACACTGAGCAACTATGCACTACCCCTCCCCTAAGCCGACAACAGCCAACTGATAGCAAGTTAGGGTTAATATTGGGTTAGGGAGGGGTGGGTGTGCAGTTGCTTAAACACTAACATCGATTCGTCGTCTCTTACCACATCTCTGTTTGTTCTCGCCTCCAACAGTTCCGCAGACATTGTTTCGTCTGGAATATCAGAGGATGATTCCCCCGCTTGGTATCTTGATGACACTTGTGGTTTTCCAGTTTTCTTCGCGCTGTTGTCTGACACGGCTGAAAAGGCTGCAATTGTTTGTGCCACAAGTGATTTTCCATACAAATCTAACCTCTCCTGGTCAACTTCCTAAAAACAGGAAAAACAGGGGGAAGCCTCAGCTTTACTTGGTAAATCTTATTCAAAAGTCAAAAACACGAGAGAATTATTAACAAGATTCTAAAAGAACGGTAAAAATCTGTACCGTAGGGGGAGGAGGTGCTGGATGTGAAGGGGGTGGGGGTAGTATGGCACCTCCTTTTGCTGCAAATTTGTTTGGCATTGCCTGCAAAATAAGTTATTCCTGTTATTTATAATTAAATTTATGATATACAATAGATTTACAAAAAAAAAAAACTACTTTGACTTGTGAAAGACGTAGTTTCAACGTTCTCTGGCTTAAATTGTGAGAATTTACAGTTTGAGCATGGTTTATTGAACAGAAATTGTAGAGATATCTCATAATTTGTGTAAGTTCCTCTTTTTCGGCAAAGTCCGTAGCGCGAGTAAAAAAAAAAATCAGCTTAAAAAAATATTGATGTTAGCGCACCGCGCGGGACTGCGAGAGTGAGGCGCAAAAAAGTAGCGACTGTTCGTAATTTACAGGTTTCGTACGCCTAACTCTGTGAAAAGGAGGGACTGTTCGTAGTTAATTTCACAGCCGAGAGAAGATGATTTAAGCACCTACACACAGTTACCAGAGAGATTTAAAATGTCTCATTCAAACATTAAAACATCACTCACTAACAGGGAAATATAATGATGACTAACTTTGAAAACAGAACCAGAATGTCTGAGATTTTAAGGCTGTCCTGAATACCACAAAAACAGTGCCCAACTGGAGCTTTTAAGATTTTACAAGTTTGGGAAATCTTCAAGTCAATTTTCCTTAAAAATATTCTCAACGGACAGAACTTTAAAGTTTCATACACTTTCCCTTGATTACATATTGATTAGAACAAAAGAAAAAAGACAACTCACGGCTTTGCTACTTGATGCTTTCATAATTTCAGTTGCAACAACAGCAGCCTATCAAGACGGAAAAAAATAATAAGCTACAGAGAACTTTCATGTAATATAGACTAATGATGTCAAATAACTCAATTACCGACTTTACCACTGACTTTAATCCGTAGGCCTCTTCTTGTGCATTTTCTCTGTACTGGTTAGCAGGGGACGTAAAGAACCCCTGCATGTCTTGTTAAGAGTAGGGAACGTAACTCTAGGTGTTGTAATCTCAGGCCTTGTTATTCTCTATATACAGGCCTCCATTTAAACCAGCTGTAAAGCTGAACTGGGTCAGCCTATCTAAATATTGCGAATAATACATAAATAAAATAACTAATAAAATTACATACCGGAACCCTGTCTGACTGAAACAGATGCATAGCAGCAAATTTATTCTCTGTCTGCAGAGTGTTGAATACCAACACACTATTCAGATCAGGGTCATCAGTAAAATGATGTACATGGCCTACAGTGGTCAATGAAAACACTTCCACCACATCCTGTGTGAAAGAAGAAAAGCATTTATTTCAAAAGAGATTCTCCCAAGCAAGGTTCAGTACCTAACCCTGTTCTACACATTAGCCACCACCACAAGTACAAAATGTACAATTCTAGTTGAAATAGTGGAGTGAAGAGATATGAAAAATATTTGTGGCACATCATTTACAAAATACAGATTCCATTTTTCTACTCAAATTTAACTGGATGAAGAGCACTATCCTTGATTGCAGAATTCTCAGTAGCTGCTTCAGAGGTATAACAACTCAAAAAAAGGAAATAAAGATTTGCATCTTCACCTGTGTCTCTCCATCCAAAAGCACCACGTCAGTGTCTGTCAATCTCATCTCCATTTCTTTTGTCCACTGGTTGCCTTTTGCTAGCAATTCCTGTATGAACAAGGACATCATTTTAACAGCTTTGCTAAAAAACCCCCAGAGATATCTCAAGATCACATCAAGTTCTTTTAGCTAGATTGCATAATTAATTCAATTTATGCAAGGAATTATCAATAAATCTTTAAGTCTTCTTTTTCTTATAATGTTAAGCACTTACATGTACTTATGAAGTTATTTTCTTGATTTCCTTGGAAACTGGAAAAACAATTTAAGCTAAACAAACCATAAACATACCTTTGTTTGCTGAAGTCTCTCTTTAGCTGGCACTTGAGCTTCCTGTGGGGTCTTGAGGGTAAAAGACGAAAGGTGCTGCAGAAAATATGCAAAATTGTTTGTCAAGGAGTAGCACTAGACTCAGATTATTTCTAGCAGGGTTTGGATCTCTAGATTAACACTCTTTGACAACTGAAAATTAAAAAACTGCCTTCTTTGATTGAAGGTAAAGGTAAAGTCTGTTTATGAGCCTAGTGGCCCATTAGGCCGGTGCTTAACTCCAGTTTCTGTAGCATGAAGCAACTAGGAGTATTTCTACTCCCCCCTGGAACGGATGCCATTCCATCGCAGGGTTACCCCCAGCATTAAATTGCCGGTACCCATTTATACACCTGGATGAAGAGAGGCATTGTGAGAGTAAAGTAGTGTCTTGCCTAAGAACACAACATAATGTCCTGGCCTGGAACGAACCCGGACCACTCGATCCAGAGTTGAGCGCACTAACCATGAGGCCACCGCACCTCCACTTCTTTGATTGACTTTCCCACTTATTCGTGCTGTTTCTCCTTCTCTAAGCAAAATTTGCAAAAGTTGGGCTCCCTCGTTAAATATTATTATTAATATTTATTATTATTATTACTATTATTATTATTATTATTATTATTATTATTATGCCAACCATACTAAATAAGAAATGATGAGAGAAATAGGAACAAGAGAGGACTGAAATAACATGCCTCTAAAAGGAAATTTGTTCTTGCAGGAAACTGACTTGCAGCTTGAACAGGCTTCTTTTGATCTGAAGGTGAAAGCCAAATAATTACTTTAACAACACATTGCATGCAGGCAAGAAAAAATTCCATGCTCAAGACAATTCTCAGGACATACCTAAAGTACACTTGTCTCTAATTGTCACTTCAGATCTTTTAGCCCTAGAATACTTTGGTGGAAATTTTCATGATCATACCTGATAGGGTTATACTTGTCTAAGTACACAGATGTTATCTGTTGATCCTCATTGCCTAACATGTTATCTTGATTTAAAGAAGTCAGTCTTAAATTAAACATTTCTTTCTACTTCACTATTGAGTCTCTACCTCATACAGGAACCAAACTCATTCATAAAGGAACGTGCTTGCAAGGTAATCAAATTGGAAAATGAAGGCAATAAGAAAAAGTAATGCACATTCCAACAATACTTCAAAATAAAATCTTTAAGAAATCCTTGTTGGGAACTTGCAAATCACTCCTTGTGGCTGTATCCTTTCACAAGCCACCAGTAAATAAACCATTAATTTTATTACAGTTGTAATTAAAACCAGACATTATAAAATAATGCACAAATCCTTACCATCACGCACTCCCAGTTTAGGGGAGTTCTTAGGAGACTTTCTTGGATCAACATTATTGTTCTGAGAAAAAAAAACAACAACAACAACAAAATCATTTGAGCCTGTTCAGAGCAAAGTTCTTCCATACGTTTTTCTAACAAAAAAGACCCATGACATTGAAGTGTTCAAGAGCCCACAAATATATGGTAACCATGTGAGTTTAAATCCTTACAACTAAGTTAGATTTTACAGATTACAAAAAATAGCTGGAACCCACTTTAAAAACAGACAAGGCCTTGTTAATTCTAGCCTTTTAGTGCTGTAATTCATACAAACTGTCTTATTTCAGTTAAAAAAAAATAAGAAGGGAAAAAGTAAGGAAATAACTATGCTTGAGTTTACAAGAGCCAGCTCATTTTTATCAAATAAAAATGTAAATCCAATATTTACCAAAGTTAGAGCCTTTCCCTTGTAAGAACCACTGTGAAATGAAATCAAGACATGACAATTTAAAAAGTCAGCTTAAAAAAATTCATAGATAATTAACTTTTAAGAAAAGTCTCCCAACATCAAAATCAATTGTAAGGTTGTTTTATTTTATCAAATTATTTGAAGTATTACATGCAATAATTTTCATATTTTCATGGCCACAGGCAGCCCATAAGATACTTTTCTTACCCAATTATACACATATGTTGGTCACCTGTGGCAGTGGCATGTTCCTTTACTATGGGGAAGTTTTTTGTTTTAACTTGAAGTTCTCACTGGCTTTATGCATTATATTTTTTGTTCTGAATGGCTATTTTGGTTTGGTTTTATACACATGCTTGATTTTCTTCCAGGAAATTTAGCTGCATGTGGAAACAATGGTAACCAAATAAATACCATGCATGATTTCTTCAAGCTGACAACAAGTAGTTAAACCTCAACTAATTTGGCTTACAGATTATTAAGTGGTGATAAATCAAATGTGACAGATTTTCTTGCTTTGCGAGAGTTTTCTTTCTTGAGTCTGGAAAGTCATAGAACTGATTAAAACTTGCAGTTTCATAGAGTCCCATGCAAAATTGCTGAGTGGTTAGTTCAAATGATAAAAGAATCAGTGGTTGACATCTCTGTGATTCAGGCTCATTCAACTTGTATATATGTATGTATGTAATCACTATGTATTTACGATATTTAGACAGGCCAGCCCAGTTCAGCTTGAAGCTGGTTTAAATGGGGGTCTGTACATCCCACCATCCCACCCCAGGGGGGGGGGGGCATCCATCACACAGTAATCTTGTGTGTGGGAAATTAACGTCTCCTACCCCCAACCCTGCAGGAGACGGGACCTCCATTTATTCATCCCTATCCAAGAAGACTAGAATATCTAACCATTTCTTGATGTTATAGAAAGGTAGCAAATTCTTTTCAATTATTTTAAGACCTTGAGTGTTGGTCCAGCCGGGGCTTGAACCCTCGACCTCCCGCACAACAGTCCAAAGCACTATCCATTGGGCTACCTGGGCGGCAGTCTTGTCTTGTTTCATCCCCTAATGCTCATCAATTTTGTAGAGTGAAAGGAGAGAGCATGGGAGAAGGCTGAATAGCCTCCACTTGACTTTAAAATGGCTTGAATTAGAGGGAACCAAGGAAGAATATGCTATATAATTATACTTTAGGGAGGTTTGTGGAGTGAAATCTTCATTTCCAGGCACGTATACTTTTGTTTTGTTCATGTTCATGCCTCTAAACATTGTACGCTTGGTTTCAGAAAGTAAAAATAAGACAATCATTAATCAAGAATATTAACAGAAGTCTACAACTTACTTTTTCTTTACTTCTACCCCATTTAGATTTGACCAGGAGGAGTCACTTCCATAATTGTAAGGTTCTAGGGACTACAAAAATAATTTTAGAGGATGTTAGTAAAAGTAAATTCAGGGCTGCCAACAATTACTAGTCTGAGCTGCAACTCAAAAGCCTAGGATAATCTTCAAAAGAGCTAAGTGCAACAATTTTTTAGGTTATAAATTAGACTATTGTGAGGATAATGTTTGACATAATTGTAAAAAATCTTTCAAGTTTCCAGTATGCTATATTTACTCCTTTATACGTTGGCATTTATTAATTGTTTACCAAATATTTAGCAATTTCCTTGAGGCTTTAATTCTAGGGTCGGGTCTATTTGAAGGGCTGGTTCCCTTATTTCAAAATTGCTATTCTAATTTCACTCACAATAACCATGCTGCTGCATGCATTTGAGATTACAGAAAAATATATTAAATTCAAATTTCTTGCAATTTTGGCCAAGATAGCATCAATTGTCTGGCTTAGAAGGTGTACAACATTAAATTGGTGAGGATTGTTAACTTCGCCTTGCACTTGTTATTTTTCCTAACAATCCCAAAATAAATTCTGCAGTCTTCCTACTGCCTGTAGCATTATTTTTATTCCACCTGAGTTTAGCATTTATTTGAGGGCAGCATTTATTCATAACTTTGCTTTGATCTATGGTGTTTCATCATTAGGGTGGCCTTTAACTTATTATAAATTAAATTGATATGGATCTCTGCTGGATGATACACGCAATCCAGCTGAAATAAAAACCTGAAGGATCTTGGAAAACACAATGCACAGAATGGGGTTTCAGTTGTGAAGGGCTGCACTTGCAAAAATTAAAAACAAGGTTATGGAAATTTAAAAGCGTCATGGCAGTGGGCATTTCAAGCCCATGGTTTAAATTATCAATAAAATTAGTTCCAACTTGACATGAATCTTTCTTCATTTTAAATTTGATTCTTTCTCTGATAATGTTATTGCAGTTAAGTGAAACTCCTACTTCAAGAAAAATAAGTAAACATACCATTCTTGGTCCTGCTGAAGAGAAAAGGAAAAAATGAAAAGAATTTCATTTAGTAATTAAAATTAAAATAACATTGAAAAAAACACTGACCATCATTTACTTTAATCAACTTCAATTATGCTAATACCTTTTATTAACTTTTAACCTAAGGTTGTAAAACACCCTATAAACAGCAAAACAGAAGGTGTACTTTTAGTATTTTAATGTCCAAAAAATTACCCAGCTTTAACAGTGATTAACAGGAGGGTTTCGGACAAAATTGTCACCATGCTTCATCGCACATTTTTGAAAGTGCTCGAAAGTCAAAGAACTCTTGTATGTGACTACCACTGACATAGAAAACCACGGTGTAATTAACTTTTCTTAAGTGAATATTCATTGCTTCAGTAGTTTCATTGTTCTGAGAAACAAAGGGTTGTTGCCATCTTGTCTCCAATGTATGAAAAAACCGCAAAAAATGCAGCTACGAAAGTAGAATTAATGCATGGATTATTTCTTAAAAATGAAGAGCATACTAGCAAAACAAAGTTCAGAAGAGTGCCTATCTGCTTGAACACAAGTCACATACAAAATTCATGACCTAATTGGAGCACGGAAGGTTTTTCCCATACCTAAACAATTGCTCAATGCATTTTGCAATAGCAGGTGTCAACAAATATTGAATAAAATTTCCATCTTATTTGTTAACACCTATAGTCTGTCTTTTCATTGTTTCTCAGGAAACTGTTTAATGACATTTAATACATGAAAAATCCTTGAATAGCATTTTTAAGACCTATTTGATACCCTACTTTGTTCCAGTCCAGACAAATTGTGCTCTTACATTTAAGCCCGACTACTTTGCAGAGATTAGCCTTAAGTCAGTTTTCAATTCTTCTCAACATAAATTCAGAATATTCCAGAACACCAAATATAAAAATCTCTCCCTTGTCCAAATAGTTTCAACTATGACTCTTGTGCAAGGTAAGCTGCATTTTTAACACTTGAAATTATCCAGTAAAAATTGTTTGCAGTTTCACTGGGACTCTGCCAGCAAAGCAGGTGACGAGTATAGACAAGCATAGAGGGTGTTACGTTAATAAGGCAATACCTCGTCTTATAAAAGTTACAAGGAAATCTGCACAGCAGCTACAGCTGTAGATAGGAAAACTGCTATGGTTTCAAAGTAAGTGGCTAGGGAGTTAAAATAAAAAATTCTTGAAAGGGTAAAATTTGAGTAATGGGGATCTCCCAGATGATGTAAACGTTACTAAAAATGAAGACCATGATGTTGCTGTTGTTGATGATGATAATGATGAATATAGCAGTGATTTTGTTATTGTTTTTTATCACTGTAATAATAATGATGACAATTATTAATGATGATGGTACTGTTCCTCTTGTACAAGTTATTATTGATTACGATGATGATAATGGTGATGATTGTGATGGTATTAAGTTTGCATGACATTGATGATGACGATAATCAATACTCAATCATTTTCAGTATGATACACACCTCTGTGAGTTTCCTCCCACTCGCGGGTATCTACTCCACTGTCAGTGGGACTGGAGTCACCTCTGCGTCCTATATCACCATTCATTGACCACTTATTATACCTGTAGAGTGGATATTAAACATGTTGCCGAGGTAAAAAGTTGGAAATGTCTTATGTACCCTCTCAGATAGCTAACATGGTATTGCCCAGTGACAATTTCACAAATCAACAGCCTCTAAATCGTATACTCAACCCTTAATGCCCTACGGTCAGTATACACATTCTCCAAACTGCTCTCCATACAGTTCCTATGGGGCTAACAAGGGGAATTCTTGAAAACAATCAAGAGCTTCTTTAAGTATGTATCATTTCCTTTATTCTCATGACCCTAGTGTGTGATTGAGGAGTGATATTGTTAAGAGAAATCAGATGCTAATCACTCTTGAGGGTCGAAAGGTAAAAGAGAGATTCTACTCTCAAACAAAGTGCTCCATACCACCAGTAGCGTCAACAGGAAGTTAAATATATTATGTAGCTGATTGCATGGCCACTATGAATTACTGGAAAGAAGAACAATCAAAACGGCCTATAATAGGCAAGTTAGGGCATTAATGTTAACTTGTACAACATAGCCTTTGTGAAAGTATAACTAAGATTTGCACTCATATTGTGCTCAACAATTTTGCAAATCAGTTTGCAAAACTGTTGTTAGTGGTTCCTAAGGTTACTGAGGATATTAAGACTATGAATACAATATAATTCATCTATTAAAAGCACTCAATCCAGAGATCAATATTTTTGATTCCCAACATCTTTCCTCAACATGTTTCTGCTGTGAATTACAATGCCTAGTTACATTTGTGTACAATGGCAATACAGCCATATAACATGCTCTTAAAACACTGACACCAAGGAATGTGAATTTTCTACTCTTTCTACCATCTTACCCTTTATTATAAGATTACATATTAAGAGATTTTGAAAAACAAAGACAAATGAGAACAGATTTGTTAAGAATGTGTTTATCAACTCTATCTACGTCATCAGATTGCAACCAGTCAAAATAAAACAATTTCTAGACCTCTAAAATGTTAAATATTTGTTCATTATATATGATTTTAATGGAAGATCCAAACAAAATAAAAACGTAGTGGTTAAATTTTACGTATCGCGAGGTAAAGTGTAGTGTAAAAGTATTAATGTTTGAGTGCACAACCAACTGAACTTTATATACAGTTCATTTCCTAAGGAAATTCAGCCATTTTGGAAACAACCTCACTAATGTTATCGTGGATATGCGATTGACGTTATCAGTGATTTCTTTATTGGAAAACGCGCCTACGCGGTCCTTGCAACACGTTGAAACTATTAATAGGTTATTACACGAAAGAAAAAAATGCAAACAAACTGAACCAAAACTATTCATTCGCTAGGACAGAGAGGTCAACCACACTCTTGCTAAAACAAATTTCAAACAAGCACAGAAAGCTCACGGACAAAATGAATGAAACGGGAAGACAAATTAGAATCAATCGCAAGTAACCAGATACGATCTCCGAGTGAATCAATGTTAAAAAAAAATACTCACGAAAGATTTGATTACAAAGAAAAGAGAACCGCAGTATTCAAGAAAGGTGGTGTGTAATCGAACACAAAAACATCGCTCACTCTGAATTCATAAAAAATTAACTCCTAATTGCTATGGTACTAATCTGCATGAAAAAAAGTAACATCATTGGATTATCACCCGAAACAATAGTGGTGATGAAATTCTTTAGCTCTCGAGTAAAAGTTTACAAAACGCCATTGATTTGTGGGCAAGCAAAAATAATCGTAGAAACACATCACGCGGCAACCATTTGTGTGGTTACATTCCAAGGCGACAAATTATCAGCCTAGGATAAGAAATTTGCGTATTGGTTCCACGTCGTAATTGCGCTTACCAAATACTAAAAAATGTTGCTGCGGTTTCCAATATGGATCAATATCATCTGTAGAATGAAATAAACTAATCTCTTCGGATGTAAACAAATCGATGTCTAAATATATCCGCCGTATCTAACCATGGCCAGCCAGGTGCATGATTGAGAGGAAATGGAGAAACTGGATCGAAGCATACACCAACTAAAGTACAGAGTTATCGTAATATCTGTTCTTCGAGAAGATTATCCTACTTCAGATTTAAACCTTCATTCAAATCACAAAAAGACCAGCTAAACCCAGTCAAAATGATAAATCTACCTGTGGAATTCTGAAATTACCGGTGACACCGCAGTTAGCGATAAAACCTTTTCCTCATGAATGAGGATGTATCGAAACTGGACACATAAAACATATGTGACAGGCCTTTTCAACAGAGAAAATAATTTTACTTGGAATAGGTCTCAAGAACTTTCCAGCACTATGACAACACAATACAAGCAAAACGCATTTTCAGACCACCTCTGGAGCACACCTTGTTTCGTTCCCTTCACAGAGTTGACAACATCGAAGTTTGCACGTAAAAATGACTTGTTCTCTTACCTGACCTAACGAGCTTCCACGAAAAGCTACACACAATATCTTCGTCGACGAGTTGTTAGTCTGACCGACCTTAATTCCTTACCATTGCCGATATTTCTTCTCTAGAGAGTTCCGCTTCAAGAGACCGTGGACAATCGTCGACTACTTCACGATGAATGAATTTCCGGTACGGCGCGTGAAGCATGAGTACTACCACCACCAAAAAATGTCCTCAGGTGAAATATGTGTTTCAATGCAAAAAAATGCTGAATAATTTTCTTGCGGAGGGAAGATTCAAAGTAAAGAATTTCAATCTCACTCGCCGAAATTTGCACTTAACAGGCGAAATAAAAATAAATTTATTCTATTTTGTCAATCTTTGATATTCAGGTGACAAAATGACATATCTTGTCAGCGGTTTCTTTCTTTGCAGTCTGTGGCAATGTAAAACTTGGCGGCAATCTTCTTTCGGTACATGGACTTTAATTAAACATTTTGGATTACAAAAGAAAGCTGCAGACACAACAAGTTGTAAATGGCATAAACTATCGTGGTCAAGCCCTTGTTACATCTGATCAAGATGCTCATAATTGCTCATGCGGTGTAACAAAATAAGGGTAATTTCGTTGTTGGGTTTTCTTGTCATAGTGTTGGTATCTCTTAACGTTTTCCTGTTGAGTACACTGAACAGCTTCAGTGAGGAGAGATACCTCATCAGATTGAAGGTAAGAAATCACATTCCGGCTAAAGCTAACCACTGCTAATATGTTGATAGAAAGGAAATCGTGGCCAAATGATGATCTGATGTCTTTGCGACCATTTACTTAAGCTTCTTTCCTGATTGTAATGCGCACCTTTTACATAGTGGGAGCCACTTATAGACCTATTTTTGAAGCTGTATCACTGAAGTTACTCTGGAAAAGGTTTCCGTTTAATCTCATAGTCATTATACATATATACCGTGAGAAAAGAAATGGAAGAACAAGAGATTAACTTACCCAGAGAGCTACAACGACCTATTTTTTTTAGAATAGTACGAAGTTTAAAGGAAATCTTTCCATGAACTGTGACTCGTCATGGATTCTAATAACTTCTTCTTTCACAAGATATTATCACCAGCTACTGTTACATGATCATTGCAGTATATGAATTAATATTACAACAAAGTAATACACCAGATTGACAGCAAGGCGTACGAAACTTGACTAAGACAGATTCCTCTTGGGTACAAATTAAAGAAACCATTTGCTTTCCAGTTGACTCTCCACCTTTTTTTTTTAATTTTTGTATCAAAGAATCTTCTTGAAAAAGAGCCGGATTTCAAACAACTTCCAACAGATTCCTCAGACCAGTACAAAATAGATGTCAACTTTCTTTTGGCAAAGACTGAACTATTGAAAGAAGAACTGGATGTAACATTAGTAACTCATTGTACTTCAAATCACCTTCATTATTTACTTGACCTCACTGAGCACTGGAGAGGCCCAATATCATTAGGTGTGTAACTATTTACCAACCAAGTTCAAGGTCCATATTGTAAGTTATGCACCAAGTTATTTTATCTTGAATTTAAGGTCCTGGGGCCTGTTTCTCAAAAGTCCCACTGAGTAACTTAACGAGCCCAAAGCTGCTTTAAAATCAAAATTTAAAGGATAGGAAAGCAGGTTCTAGCATCCAAATCAGTCCTTTTTGTTTCTTTAGCTGATAGTTTTATTACATATCATTTTGAAAACTTTTGAAATCCTCATTTTGAATGAAAACAGAACAGCTTTGCAGGCCTGTTAAGTTACTGGGACTTTTGAGAAACGGGCCCTAGGTGTGAAGGGTGCTGGTCTTAAATTGGAGTGGAAAAAAACAAGGTTCCATAAACTACAATATAGACTAAGAATACAAGGTTAGTGAGATATGGTCTGTGAAATTGAGCTAACATAGCCCACATACCATCTGAGAGGTATTAGAAGGGCTTTTAACATTGTCCATAATTAAGTTTGTCCAGTCAGTATTATTAGTTAGGTTTCATGTCCAACTTGGTAGTTGCGTTGTAAGTTTTAAAACTCCTGCTACATCTATGAGGAAACTCACAAGCTTTGATTTCTTCTCTGCTTTGTTCTTTGTAGCACACACTGTTAAAAAATCTTCCTGATTGAGCTATTAAGGGCTTTATGCTCTTTGTGTGGGGGGGGGGGGGACAAGATAATAACAATAATAATGTAATAATATATATCGATTTCTATAGCACATTTCCATGGAATGCACTTAGCAAGGTGAAAAATACATTAACAAGAACACACCACTCATTCAAAGAGTGAAGTATTATGAAACAATTTTTTAATTGATTTTAACTGTCAACTATCTGTGAAAGATTAAGAACAATTGATAATAAATGAGATTGTTGTAACAATTAAAAACAGCTTTAGATTTACTGTGTCATGTATCAGGGCCAGAGAAATTTACCAATTACACCAGGTCTGGTAATTGACATTTAAAAAAATAAAACCTTTTTGCCTCAATTTTGTTTCATTAACAGCTGTGTTTATACCTGGCTATGATGTAGTTACATCATTTACCTCTCTACTTGGCCTCTATGAGTGTCATGAAGCATTCAGAGATCGCGTGACAATACATTTGGTGTACCCATTGTCACATCCTCCTGCAGAAAATACCCTTCAGCCTTATTGGAAACAAGCACTCAATCAGCAAGGAACCTGTCAGGAATTTTTAGCAAGACTCAAGAGCAATGTGATAGCTGGAGAGTACGGCAGGAATTATGCCAATTTCAAAGTATAGAAAATTTTGATGTATCTCAATTGATTATTCATTAACCCCTTATGCCCAACATCAGAATGCATAGTCTCCATACTGTTCTTTATACATTCCTTGAGGTGCTGACAAGAAGAGTTTGTTAATAAACAATCCAAAGCTTCTTTACTTGGTGATCATTCCTCTGGATCTTGTGACCATAATGTTTGATTCATAGGTGATTACGGCTCAACACTAGCTTTCCACCTTACAAGCCAAGTGGCTAGTGACATTTTAGGTGTTACAACAATTTCAGTTAATTTGTTTACTAGCCAAACTGGTGAGTGGAAATCAAAAGCCACTAGCCAAAACTGAATTTCTTCAAGTCTGTGGCTAGTTGGCTACCATTAGTGTTGAGCCCTGGGTGATACTGTATTGGGACATTAGACATTATCAGACATTAGATACTGCACGATGCCCTCAGGGGTCAAAGGGTTAATTGACTTTTTTGGGAAGATGTGACAGTTTTCAAAGGATACTAACCTAGTGCTTTTAACATTATGAGATTTATTCTTGCTGCCTCTTTGTTACTTACTCGGAACTTTGAAGTATATGTTAAGAAAGTTCAATTTTTGTGTCAACCTTTGCAGAGTTATATAATTTATAAAAGTCAAGCAATCGGAAAAAGAATTGCAGGCCCAGGTCTGTGGGGCTTTTGCTATGGATTCCTTGTATCTTAGGGATTTTTTTGTCTTGTGCTACAGATTAACAGTGCAAGGCATGGTGGCCTCATAGTTTGTGTGCTCAACTCCTGATTGAGCCCTGGCAGGGAACACTGTGTTGTGTTCTTAGGAGAGATATTTTAAATTTTTCTCACAGTGCATCTCTTTGCCCAGGTGTTTAGTGGGTACCAGCAAATTTAATGCTGGAGGGGTAACCCTGTGATGGATGAGCATCCCATTCAGGGGGGAGAAGAGATACTTGTGGTCACTTCATGCTACAGAAACCAGAGTTAGGTGCTGGCCTGATGGGCCACTTGGCTAATAAACAGACGTGACCTTACAGATTACACCCTGTCAGCCACACTTGTTTTTCTTGCCAAAATGCTGTCTGTGAGAGTTTTTTTTTTTTTCTGTATTAATAAGTCATAACTGCACTAGATCTTAGTGCATAACCACTTATTTTAATAAATTATATTTTTATAATTACTCTTTATAGGTGCCATATCCAAATAATCTGTTGAGAAATGTTGGACGCTCAATTTTACCTTCAGAGTCCTATGTATTTGTGGTTGACGTGGACATGATGTGTAATGGCAATCTTTATTTCAGTTTCCTTGACTATGCCCAACACATAAACCTCATTGCAAACAAAGGTATTGAAAAAAGATGTTACTGTATATGTTGTACATTAGAATGGAAAAAGGAAAAATCCAAGTCCTTCTGAAGGACAGTTGCACTTCTGACTTCTGATCATCACAGTCCAATGTTCTATCACAGAGCTTCAGAGAATGCATTTGTGTGCTTGGCCATGCACTAGGGTCAATATGTAACGAATGTGTTGCATTCTGCTTGGATGAGAGGAAAAGTTTGAAAATACGCTGTACATGTGATGAACAAAGATGGTAAACTATGACAGCGGTATTTCCACAAATTATAGGGAATTCTCTCAGAGGTCAACGCAGCCTTTTTAGTCAGAATCTTTTCCTAAATTATTATGAATAGTATTTTAAAAGTTTCCACATGGCCAGCTCATGAAATCAAGTTCATTGCCTCATAAGGGTTTTTCTTTTATAACTATTTTACTTAGCTTCCTATGCATGAAGTGAATCAAATACTGTATAGTGTACTTGGCTGGCAGTATCTGTCGAGGGCAAGTATATTTTGGAATCTGGGAACCTTGTAAGTTGAGGGGAGCGGGAAAGTGACAATGATTGTAGTTAGTGTGTTTTGAATGAAAGCTCTTGTTTTAAGCCTTTGTGGTTATATATAACACCACACAAACAGCCCCCCCATCCTCATCACTTGCAAATCAGTCCAGCTTCCCTCACAGTGTACTGTTATTCCTTGGCAGAGTATATTTATTGGAGCATACATATTTTGCCAAATGACATTTCATTTTCTCTTCTTCAGGTAAAAGGGTGTTTGTGGTAGCTTCTTTTGAAAGTGTCAGAAAGCTTTCACCATCACTAACAAAGAAAGAGCTAATTGCTCTGTGGGATTCTGGCAGCGTCCAGCCATTTTACTATCAAACATGCTGGAAGTGCCAGAAGCATTTAGATTATGATGCATGGAAAAGGCAAGTCAGAGGAACACATTAAAGAATCTTTCTGGTACTTAAAAAATATGAACTCTTTAACCCCAAGGGCTGGTTATTTACACGAAGTGGAACCCAAACTGTGGTTTTGCACAAACAGTGGGCCTCCGGGATTCTCTATAAAATGGTTGTTTTAATTAAATAAATGTCCTTCCACAATGGGCTTTAGGCCCACTTGACAGTGGGATGAAAGGTTAGGCTGAATTCAAGATGGCTTAGAATGCTGTCTTGTTCAACAACAGCTAAACTTTGTTTATTTTAATAAATAACTGGCCCTAAGAGTAACCAGCATCTTATTTCTCCCCACACAGTGATACATCTGAATTTTATTAAGATTGGGAGAATAATTTAAAAGGAAATGATCGTCAACCTGAGGTGCTTGGATTGTTAATTAATTAAGCAAATTCTCCTTGTCTGTATGAAAGGAAATGTCTAGGGAACTGTATGAAGTTTGTGGATACTTACGTTAGGGTGTAAAATGTTAAAGTACTATGACCCTTGAGTGTGTTATGAGCAATCATTCTAACCAAGAGGCTCACAGCACCATAGCCCATGCCAGTCTCTATAGCAGCAAGGGAATGTTACTCTCCCTGAGTGGGAGACCAGTCCAACCCATCACAGGTTTCCTCCAGCATTTGGGTTAGTTCACCTTGACAATTTATGGCAGGGAAGCTACATGTACATTACATGCATTCCTCCCAAGAAATCTACACCATTTCCTGGTCACTGCTGAAACCTAAACCATACAACACCCAAGAAAACCATAAAACCAAGACATTTCGAGCTCTGTTACTTTATTGCACCTATCTTGCATGTTGCTAGAAGACAACATTACAGTTTGAAATATTGCAAGAGTTTTTGTTTCTTAGTGTAATATTTCTTGAATTAAAGTATTGTGACTGTGACATAAAATAGCGTATTGATCATGCTGTATTTACTGTTTTTAGAAAAATGCAAAACGTTATGTTTACTCTTAAGGTTCAATAATAATTCTTGGCTATTATGTATTGTTCAGTGTTATATTCAAAATAACATATCATCTCTATTTTTTAGCTATCACTCCTCAGACAACAATTTGCAGATAGCTTATTCTGTTGATTGGAAGGATCCATGGGAACCATTTTACATTGCACCTAATCATGTTCCTCTTTATGATGAGAGATTCAAGCAGGTATAAACTTTCTAACAGAAAGCAGCTTTCAATTGATAATAAAAAAAAAACATAACTCACTGACCAAGGATGGGGGTATTTCCATCAAGTGATGTATTTGTCAATTACAGTTTCCTTCTTATACCTAGCACTTTTTCTTTGGGAGATAATTTGTACTTGACTTCCTTAGAACAAAAAGATTAAAATAACTTGACCTTTCAAGTACATCAGATTTTACCAGAAGAGATTGAGAGAAAAGTGATCTTCTAAAAAAAACAGCAATCAAAGTAGTAAACCACAAACAGGAAAGCTACTCCTTCTCAATTCTGAGATGTAGAGTTAGGCATTTGAAAAGAAATTTCATATCCACACATGCCCATGTAAAATTCTTAACTTCATGGTTATTGATTTATTTCTTTACTATTTATTTTCAGTATGGTTTTAATAGGATCAGTCAAGTCTGTGAGACTCACACTGCCGGCTATGACTTTGTGGTCCTCAACAATGCTTTCCTTATTCATCATGGTTTCAAAATAAGAGAAGGATTTCATTCTGCCAAGGATGAAGAAAATAACCGTAACAGAGAACTTTTTAGGACATTTAAACAGGAACTCAAGTTGAAATATCCACAGTCAACAAGTCACTGTTGACAGAAAATGTACCACGTAAACTGATTTCATGCAAATACCAAATACCAAATATTTATCAATAGCACTTAACTTTTTGCTATCTCATTAAGAGAAAAGATGAATTTTTCAAAGCCTGGATATCAAAGAGAGCATAGTGTAATTATATTTGCTCTGACAAAGGGCTGATGCTAGAAACTTCAGCTAAGAAACTCTTTATGGTGGCCAATTAACAGTATCAACTCAGAAGATAAAACCAAATTATGTTACAGTGATTGTTTGATAGAAATGTTGCATTTTTATCTTCAACAATAACTTTTCTTAGTAAAAAATCATGGAACTATTACACTTACTGGAAAGTGATTAAGGAGGTTAAAATTAATTTTTCCATTTTTTTCCTATTAAGAGAAAAGAGGATTTATGTTTTATGCCAGAGATATGGGATAGCATAGTGTTATGACAGATTGTCAGCAAGTTAACACTTAAATATAAAACACCTTAGCAAGTGTTTAAGGGCTTGAAATTTCCTCATTTTTGTTTTCCTCAAGGGTCTCTATTCAAAATTTACAGATTGTATTATGAAAAATATTAATGCAGTACTTATTTCTCTAAGGGATTCATCAGTAATTAAATATCTTTAGTTGACTGCAAATTAATTCGTGACAGAAGTAATTTTTTCATAACCAAGTCTATGTCTGTGTACCAAGTGATTGAGGTGTCCAACAAATAAGTTTCAGTTGTTAATACTTCATGTCTAATGGAAGAGTCAAAAATTGTATTTAATTTTCAGTAATACCATGTAAATATGTACAAAATCTATCTGAAATAACTTTTAAATATAATACAATAAATAGAATACAGCTTAGTTGGTCAGTTTTGAAATAAATTAATTTTCCATCAATTTGATGACTTTGTAGTAACATTTATAAGAAACCAATGATTGGTACGATGTCTCACATCTCCCTTTTCTTGTGGTTGCTAATACAACATACTTCCATAGTCATCCATGCCTCTCCCAAGAAGAGAGAATCCATCAAAATGTTAAGGTGTCATTTATACAAACCAATATGAAAATTTTTTATGTCCAGTAAAACTATGAAATCCAATATTTCCTCAGATGAAAACCAAACAAAACCTAAAGTACTACCTCACTTATTCCTCGACTTGAAACGATGATTTTAATTGGTTTGTACAATCAGTACAGCTTGTGGGGATAGAATCTTTTCTCAGGAGTTGGTGATGTTAGAGTTGGTTTTTTTGGAGGGGAAACAAGTCTTGGGTCTGGGGTCAGATCACCTTTGTGTGGTTGAGAGTTCACAAGTTTTGACTTCTGTTCGACCCCATCAAGAAAGTCCAGAATGTCTAATGAGGAACTGCAGTTAGCAGAAGTGCACACTTTTGTATCAGTAGTTGAAAATTGATAGTTGCTTTGTTCAAACAAACATCTCTGAACATCACTGCCATACAAGTAGTCCTTTTCCTTGTTAGGTCTTGCCTCTCTCTTCCCAGCACTAGAGCATAGATCCTGCACAGGAAATTTAGACCAGAATTATGAGAACATTGTTACCGAAAAAAAGTTCTCCACCAACTGATCTTCATGGTAACTTTTCAAATAAAATGAAATTGATTTCTCTCCTGTTATCCTCTAAAAGCTCTTACAAATGTGGAGATTTTAATACAAGATTTTTACTTCTGACTCTTTGCTACCTGGTAATGTTTTGGTTGACGTGTTCCTCTACAGGAATAAATGCTTGAATCCTTGGCAGAAATTACTTGTATTGCTTTGACTTGCTGTGCCTTTGCCACCAGTGACTGACTCTCTGTAGCAGCCAAATTATTGTGTTGTTCATTTTGAAATAGGAAGTCACCACAGTGACGTTTCTCATTATTCTGGGCAGTACTTTCATTTCCTATGAACCCAGCTGAGCTTGCAATTTCATCTGAGTCTACAATAAAACAAAGTTAATACAATAGGCTCTGTTTCTAAATACCAAGGAAATGCATGTCTGGCAAATAATTACTTTGTGGTGCTGAATATCACGCAATCTAAGTTTGTTATTTATACACACCTTTTGATTTTCTTTTAAGACATCGCTTTTGGACTTGGGAGGCAACACCAACATTGTCTGCTCTACTTTGTATTTGGCTATTGACAGAACTTAAAAGATGTATTCATTAGAAAATTCCCAGTGGTAATTTTTCAGGTTCGTTCATGGTATATTGACTAAAGTATATACTTAGTTATTGTTAGTAACAATTGTTTCTTCTTTTTTAGTTAGCGGACTTCTTTTTTAGCTAGTGGAAACACCAAGCTGGATCAAATACACTTTTTTAGGTCAAACATGTGGACCATTTCTTAAAAATGAAATCTGCACCTATTTACCTTTGTTTATACATTTTTCTCAATTGTCCCCGGACCTCAACCAAGTAGTCTAAGAGGAAAAAAGTGGACACAATAAACTCTTCCTAAACAACATCAATTTTTGAATGGTGGGCCTTTTTCATAAAGGGTAATAACAATAGTAAGAACTTTTATTGAAACTGTAGCTAGTAAATTCTCAGAAAAAGAATATAAATATAGAGGCAAGACCGATACAATGTAGATAAGTTTTAAAACGGAGCACTACATTTTGGCTGGCCAAACCAGCCTTCTTCAGGTGCAAGGGGAATTGACATAGAATTAAGGTGGTACTTAGATAGCTGTATGATGTAATAGTGGAAATACATAAAACTAATTAAGACCCCATAATTTCCAGTACAAACTTAAAGTATATGAGTAAATAGTAAGAACCCTGTAGTGGTTAACTACTCTCACCTGCACAACCAGAATATACAATCAACTGAACTTGCAAGTGCAAGCATCAATCACTAAGACATAGACCTGTTGTTGACCTATTCATCTCCACAAGTTATAATCTTCAGAAAACATTTACTTACTTCTTCCATGAAATGTCTCCAAAGGTCTCAAGGACTCTGTTAAATTTTCTGATATTTCATGTAGTGGTGTCTAAAAGAGGTATCAGAACAGTTTTTTGTCTTGTGATAGGGAATCATTTCACTGTTTGTAGGAACAATCAGTATTATTATTACTATTACTATTATTATTATTATTATTATTATTATTATCATTATGATAATTCATTTTCATTTCACATTATTCACATTGATAGTTCTTGGCAATTTAGGCCTACAAATTGATCACTTTGAAAACAAGAGATCATGTGTGTAAACAAACCATCTATGGTGCAATGCTGATTTAAGAAAAAAGCATACCACAGACACACCTTAAAAGCTAGCATAGATTCACTTTGAGGTGTAATCTGTCTAGGAGTATTCCTTCGCACTGGGGTAATTCTACTTTTATCAGGGTTGCTGTATCTCCCAGTAGAACTGCAAGAGCTATAAGTAAGGTGTTAATGTATTAAATACAAAGGAGAAAAAAATGTCCACAACTGAGTCAGAGAGTATCACTGATCCTCTAAATGAGAATCCTTGTTGTCTGTGTTTTTCAAACTTTGTCTGAAAAGTTGACTACTAGTTCATTGTTACTCTATAGGATGAAATAACTAAGAACAATAACATGTCTAGCCAAAAACCATAATTGAAACCAAAGGCGAAGCATTAGGCAGATGGTGAAATTTCTTAGGACTACTACTGATTCTTATGTAATAGAAAGGTAAATTTAACACCTCTGAGTTTTACTGGTACCAGCCGAGCTCTGTATTCTAAAAAAAAATATAGTACTATTATCAGTAATAATGTAAACTAAGTTTTGATGTTGGGCAATAACTCACACTGCAAGGAATAAGATCCCCATTTTATTTTCCATTACTGTATATTATCATTATAATCATTATTATTCATCATCTATTATAGATTAATAATATAAGACAACTTAAAATGAAGTATCAACTTACAGAGAGTCTCTTTCTCCCAAAATGTGCTGGACTGGAGAATCTATTTTGGAACAGAAATCAATGTGGTTTATCTACTACTTATACAGTCATTGAACCTGTATTATATGGTCACCCACAGGGAATGGTGGGGTGACTGCTTAATATAGGTTGACCACTTAATACAGGTTCCACAGATTAGGGGAATTATAAAAACAATACACAACCCCACTTTATACCATAATTGACCCCTTCATATACAGAGTCTTGCTCAAAAATAATTTCATTTTAGTAGAGAAACATGGATTTAAAGTTACTTGGAAGACTATTCTTAGTTTTATTTGAGTGGTTCAGCTTTAAGTGACCCTTCAGTGCAGGTGGAAGACAATACAAACAAGCCTTTGCAGGGCTCAAAATTGCGACCGATACGGTCGCCAATGCAACTAAAACTTTTAACTTGGCGACTAAAAGTTCAAGTTTAGTCGCCAATTTGGCGACTAAACTAACTTACTCTGATAAATGAAAGATTACTGCTTAAGGTAAGATTGTCATGCAAAAGTCTTTCAGAGTTTCTTCTTTTGTGTTTTCATGTTTTAAGTCATTCAAGATAGAGTATTTCGGTCTACCCCAAAATTGCAGTCACAATCCACCACAAGCCGAACAACAACGCCAATTGAATAAGGCTCTAATCTGATTTCTGTTCTTGTACTATCTGGCGACTGCATTTTTGCACTTGGCGACCATTTTTTCTCTGATAGTCGCCAAAAGGCGACTTGTTTTTTTTTTAAATTTCGAGCCCTGCTTTGGGACTTAGTAAAGGGTAGCTGCAACTGCTTAATGGGAGGGGCATTGGGGTCTATTAGAATCTGCAAAACTATAAAAAAAATTTTTCAAAACTTTAAAACTGCAAAAAAATTTTGATCAAAACTGAAAACTGCATGCAAAACCATCAGAAAAATTCAAAAAGCATATTAGCTGGAAACTTACCTTGACCTTCTTGCAGACTGCCACTGCATGATAGTTGTATTTTGAAGGAGGAACAATCTAGAACTTTAGCCATATCTTCTGCAGTTTTTGCTTTGACATTTTCAAATTTCTAAGAAGTGTTTCAGAGCTTCTGTCAATTATACTGATTTACACAGTATCGTCACTAATAGCACTGTACGTTACATTATAAACTTTTCATTGTTTACATGTTATGATGTAGTTTGCAACTACAGACAGTTTGCACAGAGCTTTCTTGAACCTACATTACCTCAAAAAGCTGCCAGTATTGGAGCAAGGAATAATTAACTTTTTAACACAATGGTAACTCATCAATTGTTATATGACTATTTACTTAGGTTGTTACTTACCTTTTTACATACTTTTTGTTTGAGATTCTCTGCCAAAACAAATGAGGTTGAAACAAATTAAGAATGATTAATGTCTAGTAAAAATAATCCCATTGGTCCAGGAGTGATGAAAAGCAGCTGTATTTAATCCTTGCTCTTAATCAAAATCTTTGATTTATAGTGATTATTTTCTCACCTCTCACAATTGTGTTTGATCTTTTAGCCTTGTTGTATATACCTAATTGTCTCTGCAAAATACATGAAACATGGTAACTAATGAATTTCATTACTTTTAAGTAAACATAAATTTTTGCATATAAGAACCAGGTGGATTAAGATATCGTTGTCTCTAATTTAACATTTAGATACTCAAACAGATTAAGAACCTTTTCCAGGCAAAGAGAAGTAAGGTCTTAAATAAAAGACTCGACTGATTAATAATGGTCAAAATAGTTAAAAATCATAAAGGTCAGTGGCAATTTTTACAGGGCAGGTATCTTTTGAGACATTATTTAGAACAATGTTGTTACAGTTTGATGGCCATAAACACGCTTTTGGTGGACTCTTGAATAAAGGAAAATATCAAATATTTCAAAGAAATTATTAGCCTGGAGTGTTTATTACTCCCCCACAATACAAGAACCCATTTAGCATGCTACCGTACTTATCATACATAGAAATTGACTGTATAACGTATAACTTATTGGCTCGAAATTCTCAGATGCATTTGAAAGCAATCATATTTCCAAGCACTATATTAGTGATTAAACACTACCAGTTGGTTCTCTGCTGGTTTTACAAAACTATGTGGCTTTGAAATCATCATTGGTATTAAACAACTGATGAACTTTTTACTATTTGGTGCAGCTTGTTAATCTCAGAAATATGTGTGTTTGTGAAAAGAGGACAGTTTTTTTTAACTGCATACCATTCCAAACTATCTACTTACCGTAATTCTGCTCTTTGAAATAATGGCAATGTTAGGGTCAATTAACTTCTCTGTCTTACTCCTGAAATGCTAGGGTTTTCAGAAAAATGTGCAAGTTATAAGATACAAAGAACCAATTGGAGAAATATTGTCCACAGTATATCATATACATCAAGCAAATGTGTTGCTGGCTGAGTTATTGTACTAACCTCTGTTTTGGAATTACAAGCATGTTTAGATCTGGAGTGCTTACGTTCACTTGAACTTGGACTACCTCTAGAGGAATGCTTTTTGTTATGATGTGCACTTGTCATCTATCAAAAAATAAAAATAACAAAATCCATAATCAAAACCTACCAGGCTTCTGTAAGTTCAATGAATCACTGTTTAATATCTTTATCCAAAATGTCTTTCCAAAATTCACTTCAACTGCATAATAAATTTGTGCAGATTGATTGTCTGTAACTATGAAGAGAGGAGTGAAAGGAAACCATAATTGATGAAAAAGTTTACGATAATTTACCGAATGTGCAGTCGAATACCATTAACAATGGCGTGAACTGTTCTTCCTACGAGACTTGGCATAAAAGCTTAGCACTAATTAAAAGCTGAATACCAACTAAAAGAACAAACTACACTGTAAACACCTTCTCGTGTGATTCTTTTTTCCATCTTCCTTTTTCCACCTCTTTGTTATTCTTTTCTTCTCTTTTCTCTGCTTTCCTTGCCTTTTTTGGAGTATCAGTCTCACTATCTACTCCATCACTGTCTCCACTATCAGAACACAAAACGCGGCAAACTGACTTTCGAAATGTTTCTCCCTTTTCTATACCTAGAATAGGATAATCAGTTAAAAAAAAGACACATTAAAGAGCGGCAACAATAACCCTGGCAAGAATTAAGCTAGATATGAATAACGTACTATGTACAACACAGAGATTTTAAAACTGCCTTAGCTAACTTTCACATGAGCTTAGAGATTGGAAGTGGTTAAGAATAGCTTTAGACGTTTCAGAAATATCAAAAGTAGAATGAAAATAAGCAAGCTTGAGCTGAATAGAAAAGACGCCTATCAACACCTTACCATGTCGATGTTTCATCCGCATTTTGACCTCAAATTCTGGGTAGTATCTGGTCTTCTATGTGAAAACAACGCCATCATACTCACCAAATGATATTAAAGAGCAGAGAAATCAAATCTTTAAGTTCAGTTTTTGAATCTCTAGAGGTTTCTGGAGAACGGAGGGCACTAAACGGCACAAAATTTATGTCATAACGAAAAGTCGTCAGTGCGCGGCCATCTTGATCGTTCGCGCGCTTTTTTTCGCCCACGCTCTTCCGGTGACCTTTTTCCCGCCAAATAAGCAAACGAAATTCAGGAACAGAGGACTAAAGATTGCTTGGAATATAATTAGGACGTGTGGAATAGACGCAAGATTTGACAGTGTAAGATCCCTGTTCATAGCTACCAGTTTGTAAATACAAGGTTTCTGATAAGCAAATTACTAATTTATTATACAATATATTCGTCCTTACGGTTGCAAATAATATATTTATCAAGCATTTGAAATCTTACGGTTGCAAATGCTTGATAAATATATTATTTGCAACCGTAAGGACGAATTTATTATACAATATATTCGTCCTTACGGTTGCAAATAATATATTTATCAAGCATTTGAAATTTATCTAATAAGTCTCTGATATGAATAATATATAGATTTAGCCAAGCCTAAAAATAAAAGCGGAGCTCCCAAGTTCGTAATATTAAAGATAACATAAAAGATGTGCATTTGCCAAGACTTTCCGGAGACACCCCTCCCTTCGTTTTGATAGTCTTCCCTACCCTACCCATGCAATCTGAAGGCATGTACATACGTACATAGGTATGTACGTTCGGTCAGTCATGTGACAGCCAAACGAAAAGAGCTTGACTATATTCCATGGGTATGGGGTTCTGCCCCACGCGAGCAAAATGCACTTGGGAGCACCGCTTGAAAGAGAAAAATTTGTAGGAACTAACAAAACAGAAAAGCAAAAGAAAACTTGTAAATTTCTTCTCATTTTCAGTTTAATTTATTATAAGAAAAAAAATGAAATAGCTGCTGCAAGAATATACAATGATCTTACCAAACTATCACCAACAAATTATGTCATGATCATCTTTTGTTTTTTAACTCTTTTTTACTCCTCTTATTTACTTATCTGTTTATTCATTTCCCTTTTTCTCTTTGCCACCTTTTCATCATTTATTGCTTTCTTTACTTGATGTATAATGATCCTACAAAACTATCACCAACAATTTATGTTATGATTATCTTGAGTTTGTTTCTTAACTCTTTTTTTTCTCGTTATTTACTTATCTGTTTATTCATTTCCCTTTTTCTCTTTACTACCTTTTCATCACTTATTGCTTTCTTTACGCGATGCATTAGTTCTCTTATGTTTTAATTACCTGGCTGTAGTGGTTCGAAGGTTGGGTAATGCTATCCACTGGACAAATCTCTATCCGGTGGATGGCACAACATGTCTTAAATTATTAACATTCATCCTCTGGATAGTAATTTATCCATTGGATAGCATTATCTGCTCTTTGAACAACCAGGCCCTGGGTGTTATACATTTATGCAAATAAATAAATACATAAATAAATAGATACAATGATTTGCATGACAATCCTTTATTCATCAGCGCTATGATTATGAAAAGTGTTTGCCTGGGTTGTCATTGCCATGCATTTGAACACAGAAATAATGCATTGGTGATAAAAAAAAAGGGCCCTCATGCACCATCATACAACTTGGTACATTGTTGTCCCTGAGTCAGCCATACCCTATCAACAACTGAAATGCTTTTGAGACTGGAGTGCTTTACACAACACCTTTAAGTTAAGCCTTTGACTCCCATGAGTGACTAAGGTAGAATTTCTCCCCACTATATTTATACAATATCAAGCAGACAAGTGATGAGAATAAAGGAAAATATCAATTAGGGGATTATTATTTGATCCAGTACCAAATTCTCAGAACTAACATCATAAGAATTGTATCCCAAGTAGAAAGGAGAATTGCTACGGAGATCCTGGGAGTGAAAGAGTTCACTGAACAGCCCAATAGAAACAGAAATTCAAAGAACTCTGAAAAAAAGTTCTCACACTCCAAGTATAAGAATAGACCTTTTTTATTTACAATTTGAACAATAATATACATAATTATTTTGCATTCATCTTCTCTTGATTATGTACCAGGTTACAAAAAAAACAAAAAGGCAAAATTAAATCAGATAGAGCATGACTTTGTGATGACCTTGTTTTGTCAGCGCTGTTAATCTGTTCATGGTTGAAGACAAGAGTGAACCTCCAGAGTCAAAATCTGTGTCCTTTAAGAGCAAAAGCAAGAAAATCTTTAATGTTGGAAATCTTCAAAATTTTCAACATTTCTAACATGTTTAATTACCTCTTATTAGCTAAGTTCAAGGTCTATACTGATAATTATAGACCAAGTTATTTACATTTAATATTATGGCCCAAATGCAAAGCAGGCAGGCTACAAATCTGAGCAGGAAAAGTTATATTTCATTGCTTACATTACTGACAGAAAAAACAAGATTAGTAAGTTGTTAATTTTGTCTTAGGGTTCAAATAGAGAGGAACAATTGTAAATTCAACAGGTTGTTTAGTGAAATACAGCTTGCTAAACTGACCACAGCGCACTTGCTAACCAAAAAATTGTAACACTTCTTACAGCTACATTTTATTTAGGAAAGAAACTGCACCTTTTTTTATTCATAAGCATAACCCATGTGGGATGTTGAAGGATCACAGGAAAAGTTTGTAAATCAGTGACCTTTGGTTATTCATTAACATACTTTTCTGCCAAATACAGGTTGCCAGTAGAGTGCTGCATGTGAACAGTGTAGTCTTGATAAAAAAAAAAAAAAAAAACAAAAAAAAAAAAAAAAAAAAAAAAAAAACAGGACTACAGGACTTACCATTTCATTGAGCATTTTATTCTGATATTTCACTTCATTTCCTATGTCTATAGTAAGCTAGAAGAAAAAAAATGTTTTCATCAAAGATGAGACCAGGAGTAGTTGTACTGTCTTCCCCACCACAACCAACCTCACAAGGATATGCTGAAGTTAAGTTTCCCCCCTTAAAACATCTAACACCAGTATGTATATTCTCAATACTGGTCTCTATTCAATTCCTAAGGTGCTGACAAAGAGAATTTGTTTAACAATCAAGAGCTTCTCTAGTTGGTGATCATTTCCTTATTCTCATGACCTGAATGTTTCATTCCTTGTGGTGATTGAAAGGAGAAATTAGATGCATGTCACTGTCAAGGGTCAAAGAGGTTAAATAAATTGGTATAAAAATTAAAAAAATAGAAGAAACCAAATACATAAATAAAGAAATTTTACTCTTCCCTACGTTGACATCAAAGATTTACGACTTATTCTCTTCAGAGTTCAAAACTTGATATTTTCAAATATGAGAATACATACAAATAAACATTAAGCTCAATTTAACTTTTATCTTTTACAAGACTTAACAGTTACTCCCTTGTACCGATCGAATTTGTATGGTGAGATTACAACCGTACCGATTTCAGTGCTTGAACTTTGCTTGAAAGATGATCGACCATCTTTTCATTCTCTTCTTCCAGCATTTCATGATCAGTTCTCTGCGCCATATTTCCGTGATAATCAGAAGGAACTATAAAACCAAGCGACAGATAAAACATAAAAAAATGACTTCTCAATTAGCCAGAACGTGAAAATCACAATATTTCTGCGACATATGGTTACAGAAAAGTAATAATAATACCATGGGCTCGTCTCATAGCGGTAAAAAACAGCAAATTGGAGATGGTAAAATACGAAATTTCCTTTTACCGATGAACAGACGTGTCACCTTTTACGAAAATTTCCAGTTCACGTTGAAGAACCGCTGACTTACACAAGCGCCAAAACGAGGCTTTTGTGGTAGTCAATGTCGCGATTCCACGATCTCAAATCACGCGCGTTGATGTTCCCGAGTAAAGGGCATACTTGATTAATACATAAAAGCTAAATTTTGAATAAGCTTCTCAAATTATGGCAGCCATAAGGACATCGCTTCGATCGATCTTCCCATCAGGTGAGTAATCAACATCTTTCTTGATTATCGATTGAGAAATTCGAATTTAAAGAGCGCGGTAATTTACTCTGGTACCTTTACTGTTGTTGACGCGAGGAATCTGGTCGTGGTACCCCGCTGTAGAGTAAACATAATTTATTTCTATATTGTTTTCTTTTCACAAAATCTTATTTCTGAGAAATCTATCTCGTGGGGGTGTGAGAGGGGTGTTAGCGGAGGCGTGTATTGACGAACGTCCATGCCCTGAGTGGTTGCGTGCCATTGTTCATTACAACAAGCATTCTTGTTAGGTCCTAGCCTACCACGGATAACATGAAAGAAACAGAAGGGGTGATTTAAGCTTACTTTAGCTGTTTTACATGTGATATTCATCGTAGTTTTAGACACTTTTCAAACAACCCTGGTGGTGAAATTTGAAAGTTACACCTGTACCATGGATCCCACAATTAGCCTTGCCCCTCAAATATGAGCTCCTCCTATCGCCCAAAGTTGTAAAGATTTCCATATAACANTTTTTGCTTACACCTAAATAGTGTCTAACATTCACCGAATTGAAATATGGCATCCAATTTGAATTACCATTGTTCTGGACTCACTAGCCTTGTCTTCATGTGGAGACACAAAAGGATTATCACATGTGTGAGAGGCTAGTAAGTACAATACAATACAATACATAGCTCATATAGCGCAACGCTTCTCAAAGATCCAGCAGCGCTTTACAATGATAGTGATAGAAAAATATCATCAATTAAGAATTAAAGTGAATTAAAAAACTAGTGAAAAATCAATGAAAGAAAAAACTACAACTGCCTAAATAAATGGGTTTTAAGTTTAGACTTTAATTTTGTTAAAAGGTCCACTTGCCTAATATCATCTGGCAAGGTGTTCCACAGAGTAGGAGCTCTATGAGAGAACGCCCTATATCCATATGTTTTAAGATTGCATTTAGGTACCATTAAGAGTTTTTTCTTAGAAGATCTTAGGTTTCTATTAGGAATGTACAGTCTTAACAGTTCACTAAGATACGGAGGACTCTGGCCATTTAATAAGTAAGTCCAGAACAATGGCAATTCAAATTGGACGCCACAATTATTTTGATTCGGTGTATAGAATTATCATATCTGGTTATGATTTGAAGTGCCTCTTATCTTGTTCTGAACATCAGTTAAGTGCCCTGTGCCTTAACTACAGGATTAATTGAAGAAAGAGTATCGCACAAAAACCATACCCTGACTGATGAAAAGTTACCTAATATAGGCTGTATGTACAGGATACTGCCTCCTTATAAATTTCAAACCACAGGCTCCCTCTGTACCTCATCCCTTTAGACACCATATTGATAGGCTTGTTTAAAATGAATTTACTGTGTTTTAGAAATATGTTTTTCTATCTAATCACAAGTGTGGGACAGGAGAAAAAAATGACTCTATGACGAGCAAGGCCCAATTTACAAAGTTCATGTATGGCACCTGCAGTCCTGCATACTGTTCGATAGCATCATGTTTTGTGAAGAATAATAGGCCTCGTTCACAGTAGAGTCTCTGTGACTCAGTGGAATCCGAAGGTCTGAGGTTTGATTCCTCCTTGGGACTCAGAATTTTTTCTTTGTTCCACACTTGTGACTTGTTGAAAAAAATATCTTTTTATTTCTTTACCAAGCTCAAAACTTACCATCTTTCTAATTCTTGATTGTGTTTTGTGTCCGATTTTTAGGCATCAAAGCTCTTCACAGCACAGGTTGCTCAAGAGTACAAATTTCTGTCCAATATTCCAGTGCAGCACAGCTTGCTCTTCGTGGAATTTTAGACTCGCAGATCAATGACATCCATCAAGCAGGAACATGGAAAGATGAGAGGCTCATAACAACTAAGCAAGCTTCAGAGATTGCAGTATATGGACAAACTGAAAAACTGCTGAACTTTTGTGCCAATAACTACCTGGGATTGTCGGTGAGTTATGGTAGCTGAGGCCTCAAAAAACTGCTACATGTTGTAGATGAAAGAACAGGGTTCTGGGTGTCTCTGGGGGTTAATTGTTGTCTGTGCACAACAACTTGTTGGCATGTTGTCATGGTCCTACCGATATAAAAAGTTTGTTTTATAAGCCCAACTCATTTCTGTTACAATACCAATTGCTTTTCATACCTAGGGACGTCTCACCATACTGAACGTCTGTTCCCCACCTGTCTTACTTTAAGTGTTCAGGATATTCTTATGTTGCCGTCACCAAATATTAGGTTGTCTCTCCTATCTTTTGGATATAATGATAGAAGAAGTTGGTGGGGCTTTCTCATTATTCATATCAGTTCACACATATCCATGCAGTTAAAACAGATTTTTTGTAATTAAATCAAGGGACATAACAAAAATTTACTAGATTTTATTGAGAGAGACACACCCATTTTTATACGGTCTTTGCATAAATCTCTTGTGACTATACAGAATCTTACACAATTTCACTTTGTACTTATACCTCCTTTTTGTTAAGTCTCATCCAGAAGTTATACAAGCAGCTAAAGATGCTTTAGACAAGTATGGCAATGGACTCAGTTCAGTCAGGTTTATATGTGGTACACAGGTAAACGTACAAGTGGTTAATATATATAGAAACAACATTTTGTAATTTTATTCTTATGACAGTTTGATATAAGTAGAGTGGTACATTTTATTTTGGGGAGAAAGTTGAACCTCCAATTGACTGTGAATCATAGGTGACAGGGACCATAGGCCAAGCTGAAAGATTGAAATATTGTGATCATAAAAAATCTCTCAGCACAATCTGGATGTCTTAAAACTCAGAAAGAAAATATGACTGGGTCTGCCCTAGCTTTGAGGCTTCACAGAATAAACCCCTTAAAGTCAAGAGATTATTTCACAGAGTCTTAATGTGATGAGGTTTATTTTAAATGTTGACTTTTAAAAGATTGAGAATAACATACTCCATTTTAAAAGGAGGGGGACAATGTATGGGAGGGTATGGGAGGGGTCAGTGGTGGAAAGGGCACAAGAAGTGAGTAGGGGTAGTGAAGAAAGAGTATTTATGAAAGTGGAAGAACTGAAGAAAAATAAAATTGTGAAAGCAGAAATTCATTCATCTGTGGTGTAACACTGTCAATTAAGGACTACTGACATGAGTCAAAGGTTTAGCAGATGGAATAGGATGCAGGAAGTTAGAAATTCTCTCACCCTATCTGTAATCCCATCCACTCAAGATTTCAATACATTTCCTATAGGGTTTTCAAAAGGTGGTAAGCTTTTTTTAAAACTCTGATGATCGGTTTGACCCTGTTTATATACATTGCTCATATCAAAAATAAACTTGGTTTTGCGCACAGGATCTTCATAAGGAACTGGAGGAAAAGATATCAAGATTCCATGAACGGGAAGATACAATTCTATATGCTTGTTGTTTTGATGCAAATGCCGGCTTGTTTGAGGCTCTTATGACCCCAGATGATGCAATATTAAGTGATGAATTGAATCATGCATCTATCATTGATGGAATACGACTGAGTAAGGCCAAGAAGTTCAGATACAAAAATAAAGACATGAAAGGTAGGATTTGGTGTGAATTGTCTGAGTATGGGATTGGTGGGAAAAAATTAATAATTAAATACTACTGGTTATGTTTTGGAAGGTATTCGAAATCTTCACTCCAACTCCCAAGACCTGATTGTTAATTCTCCCCTCTTAAGCTCCCACACATTTTCTTGTAAATTAGTTACCAGAATTTGGTGTCATTGAACAGGAAAATAACTTCTTCCTTATAGGGGAAGTTTGAATATTCTCGCTACCTGTTTGCTGGACAATGTATGAGTATTAAATAAATTAAAGGGGTGAATTTACATGTTAATCACTTCTACGAGTTAAAGGATTAAGAGAATATTTGTAATACCAACCTCTTACTAACTTCTTATGAACTGAGCATGAGGCTTGTACTGGGGAATATTGGCCTGAGTTGGAGAAAGTACAGACCGAGTCCAGCAAGGTCCATATGCGAATGAAAGAGGGTCAATACCGGTATTGCCTGGTAGCTGGGCTGAAGCAAGCGAGTTTAGTACTTACTATGTAAGCCTCCCAGTTAGCTTGAAACGCCTCCCGGTTAGCTTGATTGGTTAAAGTGCTGGATTGTGTTGTGCGGGAGGTCGAGGATTTGAGCCCCGGCCGGACCAATACTCATGGTCTTAAAATAAGCGAGGAGAATTTTGCTACCTTTTTATTATCAAGATAGGGATAGATATTCTAGTCTTCTTGGATAAGGATGAATAAACCATAGGCCCCATCTCATGCAGGGTTAGGGGTAGGAGACGTTAATTTCCCACGCATGAGATTACTGTGGTGGATGTCCTCCCCTGGGTGGGATGGGTGGGTGTTGACCCTGAAAAGCCCCTATGGGGAGTGGCCAATTAACCTATGGGTAGTCAATTATCCGGCACTCACTCAGGTTTAACTTTTTTATTTTGAATTTGCTGGCTGTCGTGACCAGTTTACAACTGTTTCCATTGAAACAGTCCATATGGCAAAATATGGACTGGGTAAGAACCATGCAATCAGAATGCTTGATTCAGGGTAATTAAACTTTACTTCTATTAGCTATTTGACTGTATGGCTTGTACAAAGTAATGTGACTGTTACTTTATAAATATATTTCTTATGTTTTATAAAATTTTTTGTCAGACCTTGAAAAAAACCTGAAAGAAGCAGAGGGAGCCCGTATGAAGTTGATAGTTACTGATGGAGTTTTCAGCATGGATGGAAAAGTTGCCCCCCTCAAGTATGTATCCCTAATAATAATACTTTTTGGGAAAAAAATAACTTTGAGCATGCGGTATGATGCCACATTTCACCTTTGCAAAAAGACTCATTACATATAACTTTCAGAATTTTCAAGCAGACTGGTTGAATATTTGGCTCAATGATGTCCTGTCCAATACTTCAAGATGTTACAGTTTGGCTCTCAACATGTTCCAAAATTAGGATTCACAACAAGTTTTCTCAATGCTGTGTACTTCCAAAATTCTGAAAGATCTATGTGAGTCTTTAGGCCAAAGTGAAACATTGCATCATATACCAGCCCCAAATTAATTTTGCCAAATTGTATTTAAGAATTGATATGTACTTTGATCAATAAATTAGTAATTTTGATACCTTAGCAAGGAAATGTCCTTGAAACATACTTTCAATTAACTGTGACTGAAGCAAGCTAGTGGGTTCTCTGAAGAGTTTAGAACACACTTAGTCTGACAAGTACTTGGCATGCCTAAGAGAGAGAAAAAGTTACATGTTATTGGCCTCTGTTTTTACTTTATCAAATTTTTATTGTTGAGCCTTTGTGCTGTAGTTATTGAAAAAATTTGATAATTCAAAACTTAATTAGTGAAACTGTGCTGCACTGATGCAGCATTGCAGTTTCTTTTAATTAGAAGCTTACCCCATTTATTCATTTCTCTTCTAAACTACATACCCACAAGCATCAGTTCATGATTCACTCTCTTGTAAAATATTATGATGTGGATTTTCTTAAATTAGTGAATTGTGTGACTTGGCAGAGAAGTATGGTGCACTTACATTTATTGATGAATGTCATGCTACAGGATTCCTTGGTAAAACAGGCAGGTAAAAGTGTTAATTACTTTCAACTTTATTGAACTTAATATTAAGTGTTTAATTGATTTGTAAAAAATTCTGGTTTCTTCTCAGCAATTGTGTACATTGCACAGGTTGCCAGCCAAGATAATTTCTTTACTAGTTTAATATTAATTATGAATATATTACTAATTACTACATTGATTTTGTAGTCTACAAATTGATTTACCAGCTGTTCTTTGCTTCCACTTCATGTGAATATGTGTCAAACTCCTATAATTATTGTAGTTACTGTCAGTACTATTTTTAACTTTTTAAACTCCCAAGATCTAATTGTTAATTCTCTCTTCTTACTGCTACACATTTCCTTGTAAATTAGTTATGAGAATTTGGTGTTAGATCAGGATAACAACTTCTTCTTGTTAAGTTTGAGAATTTTTTTTTTACCTGTTTGTTGGATCGTGTATGGATGTTATAGGGAGAAGTTATATGTTCATCACTTCTGGGGGTAAAGGGTTAATTAACATTCTTGTTCTCCTCTCATTGTAATTAACATGTAGCTGGTTCTTAATTTTTCTAGGGGAACAGAGGAATATCTGAACTGTATGGGTCGTGTGGATATCATTAATTCAACTCTTGGGAAAGCTTTGGGAGGTGGAGCAGGTAAGTTAGTTACAGCCAGTTCTCAGTTGAATGCAGCATCAGTGGCTGCCTACTCTGGAATCAAAAGCTACATTCTCTTTGCCTTATTTGTCATTTTCTTCTTCAGGTCTTACATCTGTCAGTTAAGGTTTGGCAAATGGCTTCTTCAAATTGCATTGAAAATCCTGTGATAAGCATTATGACCTCCTTATAGGTGTTCTATAAACTTAAGGCAAACAGGCCAGTGCAGTGACATCAGCTATGGAATTGAGTGACAGGGATTGTGCAAACATACATGTACAAGAGCTGATTTTGATTGCATGTTGAGAGTTATCCAAGGTTGCATAAATTGGTTCTTCTTCTTATCTTATGATTAGTCCAGGAAACACACACCGCTATATTGATCATGCAAATCATAAATCAATAATCACACCATTGTCACTTGCATTTTACCTTACTCCAGGCCCCAAATATTGAAAGGGTGAATTATAGATATCCACTGGGTAAATCTCTATCCAGTGTATTCTTGTTGGCTGGGTTAGTAGTGAATCTGTTGAATAGTGTAATCCACCTTTTGAATAACTGCATCATCAGGATCATGTAGTGCACAGGGTTTGCTTATTTTAACATGTTACACACACACAGCAGAAATATTTTCACTAAAATTTTTTTATCAACATTCTGTTTTTTAATGTTTAGGTGGCTATACAACAGGACCAAAACAACTGATTGATTTGCTACGTCAGAAATCCCGTCCTTATTTATTCTCCAACACTCTACCCCCTCCAGTTGTGGGTGGGGCCAGTAAGGTGAGCTTTTACCCACAATATTTCTTGTTGGTGAGATTTTTTCCTCATGGAATTCATGATCATGTGGTGCAGCCTCTCCCCATTTTTTTTTAGTGTGACTGTGGTAATTTCATAGTTATCAGCAATGCCGTGCTTTACTGCTGTAGGTCTGATAGCATATTCATGTTTGTAAATTTTCTAGATAGTGCATAATTTTATAGGAGTTGAGGTGTAAATTAAGTGGAAGTCTGATGTTGGAATGCAAAGGGTCACCCTATGACAGACCAACACCAGCAGAATTGTGCGATGCAATGCACATTTGCCCTAGGTTGTCATTTTGGAAGAATATGAAATATGCATAGATTAGACAATTTAACTTCATAATATCAAAAAAAATTTGATCCACCCTTCTATAATTTGCATAGTGACTCAATTTGTGCATTTGTTTCAACTAAAATGCTGAAAACTTAGGTTATGTTAATTCTCTCTTCATCACCTACTTGCACAACACCAACAAACATTTATTTACAAAATTTATTAGTTAATAAATGTTACATAATGCTATTAGCTACCACATCAAAATGTGTATTTTCATTGAAATGTTTATCAAAATCTACTGTAAAGGATCTTGTGGTTAGTGCACTTGACTCTGGATTGAATGGTCTTGGTTTGAGCCCTGTATACATGACCAGGGATATTGTGTTGCATTCTTAGGCAAGACACTTTACTCTCACAATGCCTCTTTTCACCCAGGTGTTTAAATGGGTTCCAATGAATTTAATGCTGGGTAACCCTGCCATGGACTAGCATCCCTATAGTTGCTTCATACTATGGAAACTAGTGTTAAGCACTGGCCCGATGCGCCACTTGGCTCACAAACAAACTTTACCATACCTTAAATATCATCATGGATCTGGCTGATTTTTAATATTTAATATTTCTTTAGTTGAAATTATATTTATTGTTAAAGTTATCCTTAAAGACATTTTTAATTACAATAAATTACGATTTATCACTGAGTATCTAATAATTATTAACCTCCAGGTGTTTGATCTATTAATGAATGGATCTGACTTGATCAAAAAAGTGGCTGATAACACCAAGTTATTCCGAACAAAAATGACAGCAGCAGGGTTTAACATAATTGTAAGTAAAACTGTGCTCGTGATGAGTTGGTTTGTCATGCTTGATTCTACTAATTGAACTTTAATTTATTTCATTTAGACATACACTTGGCTGGTGAGATTTTGGATTCTGAGAGAAAGATAGTTTAGAGATCTTTCAAAATGAATTAATTAATCCCCAGCAAATGAGAGTAATAATAATGGAAACTTTATTTGTGTTTTTAAATGTACAATTGTAAATCTCACTACATATAGGCAATTTACAAAATGCTGCTTGAGATTGGCTTTTTCAACACACACACAAAAATCAAAATTGCATCAAATTTGGGTTGTCCCAATTTCTATTTCTACAACAAAAGATGTAATATGTTGCTCTAATAGCAGCGCTATATTTATCATTTTCTTGATTATGTAAAGTTGCTGCTTTTTGTCAATGCCTATGTCATTCATCATGTCTAAGAACGTAGAGCATTAATTCATCTGAGAAAACGCCAAGGGAGCTCATAATAATAACAATGATGATGATGATAATGACGGTCTTTAGGCAAGGGACTTGCATCACTGGAGAATGGTATTCTGTGAGGCCCTCACAGAGTAGTACTGTCATCAAGTTGCATTTTGTAGATTAACATTGTATTGAGAATAAACAATTGGACATCCCATCAATGACGCTCTAGATTTCAAAGTTGAGAATATACTCGTATTTTATGAATAGAAGACCTTGTTTAGTTTTGGTTTTAAAGCCATGAGGCCTATAAATTTTCTGATTGTTCAATATGAGGTAAACAGCTTATTCACCAATTGATTAATAAGTGGAAAGGCCTATAATTCAATTGAAAAATGGAGGCCACCTTAAGTTTTCAGACTGTACTTTGTGGTTACAGCCCCTTATCTTTAGGAATAATTATTATTATAGTCGAAATTTTCCACAGAATTATATGCTATTAAGCAGACAGACAATCATTTAATTGTTATGGAAAAAATGCAACAACTTTTTTCTTCTTATAATATTTTATTAATCTGTCACAGGGGGATGGTCATCCAATAACTCCCGTCATGTTAGGAGATGCACGGCTGGCTGTAGAGTTTGCTGATGAAATGTTAGGTCTGTAATAATTTTGTCCACAGGTGGCCTAAGCTTGCACCATCTGTGACACTAGGTCTTTATTATTAATAAATTATAAAAAATTATTCGTAAACTGACTTAATTCATTTTACGTTAGTTTCAATTGACTATTTTAATTTTTTTCAGATCGGGGAATCTATGTGATAGGTTTTACATTTCCTGTTGTTCCTAAGGGTAAGTCAGCTTGAAGTTGAATGTTGCAAAATTTCTTTACCTTTCTGTTCAGTACGAATTCAGTACCATACAAAATTAATCTGAACCGAGAAATAACCTTTATTGAGTAACTTCATACAACCCGGAATATAACATGAAAGTGTATAAAAAGTTAAAAAAAAAAAAAAATCTTGCAAGTTACAATTCTCCTTTTAAGGAAAAATATCACTAACCTAAACTACATAATTATATGGCTATGAATGATAACATTATAATGTGCTGTTTAGGTAGTCTATATCTTTCTTTAAGTCTCTTGAAAAAGGAAATGCAAAGTCTTCAAAAGTTCAACGCAAAAGAAAAATAAGAAAAATGTACTATAACAAGAATAAAAATAATCTATAACTGATGAGTTTAAGGAAGTCTTGCTCGACCCTTCTCTACCTCCAGATCCCTGTCTTTAATGTCTAAGTTCCTCCTTCTCGGGGTTGTAGATCCCCTTAGACATAGGAGCGCGCTCCGCAAAATTGCAAAGGACGCTCTCGCTCTGACCCATGAAATTGTTGTGGTGTAGCTCTCTTGCTTTTTTGCAAATAATAGCTCGGCTAATCTTGAGTGGTACCTCAGGCATTCGTCAGCCATCCCCCCTGTCGTTGTAAATACCAGTGGGGTGAAAGTGCCTTGCTCTACTTCTGTTACACGGGAGTTGTATTTTCGCTTCTTTTAATTTTCATGAATCCTGTAAATCTGCTTGGGGCTAAGATCTCTGTATGAGTCTGCATTGGGATGACACACCCTTGTATCGAAAAAAGCAGCTTTCTGTCGCTCCCAGAAACCCATACAGTGGACGTCGAGGCGTGCGTCAGGGGCTTGATTAGTCCCGCTGGGAAATTCTTCGCCTGTTATAGGTTGTAAAGCCGGTTCCACCTGCACATCGTAACAAACCATGTCGAGCAGCTCGGCCTGTAGATCGGGTATTTCATTGTGACGCTGAATGACTAAGCCTCCACGCTGGCACATCATCGCGTGATCCACTGTAAACAAGCTCCCACAAAAGCATACTGATGGATTATCGGGTATTGGCCAATCATATCGAAGGGTCACAGCGTCCCGAAATTCCCGCTTGTTGAGATCAAAATCCATGTCTTTGAGAGGAATAACTGTAAGCCAGTTGGATGCGCCTTTTTCACAGGCCAGGTCTACGGCTCTCTGTGTCTTGTATGGTAATAAGGCCTTCACCTCCTCGAGCTTTTCTTTTAGTCTATCCATAGTTAATAGCTATGGTCTATCATCCTTTTCTTTCCGGGTGACCTATACCAGTCGTTGTACCTCGGCCTCTTCCGGGGTCTCGTGGGATTGCGCCTCTATTTTGCTTACAAGTGGAGCGCTTACCCTAATAGACGCTGAATACTCCGCATCCGCAGTATCAGATGGATTAATGAGCCCAAGGCCTCCCATACTCACCGGTAATGCTACCAGACTACGCTCTTCCTCAGAACAGTTACGTTCTATGAGCGACGGCATAAATACATGTATTTACGAGTCGTGCGATCCGTTCGGATCGTGTAATGTATCACGAGTAGTGCGACCCGTAGGGATCGTCTAATATATTCACAAGTCGTACGACCCGTACGGATCGTCTAATATATTCGCGAGGCGTAAGGGTGTATTCAATGCATTAGACTATCCGCACGAATAGTAGGCACGTGAATACATTAGACGATCCGCACGGATCGCATGACTCGTGAATACACTGAACGATCCGTATGGATCGTACGACTCTTGAATACGTTCGACGATCCGAACGGATCGTATCACTCGGGAATACCTTAGACGACTCGTAAAGGTCCTTGGTATTGGACAACCCTCAATATCTTTGGTGAAGGTCTCATGGAGATAAAAATTGAATTTTGGTTTCCTTTCCGCGGTAAAATTTAAAACGCTCGTGCTGCAGCGCTAATTGTGAGAGCATTCACGCATGCAAGCGGA